TACATTTGACTTTAGAACCTCCATTTTTTTTTTCTCCACACTGATCCACAAACACTTTCAGTTATTTTTGTAACTCTGTGATTAATGAATTAATACTTTAGAAGCAGCGTAAACACAACATGTGAGTTTCTATATCATAGTTTCACACATTTCTTCACGTCTGTTGCCCCACTGCAGCTGATGACTGAGCTGTAGAGGTGCTGCTTGGTGGATTTACCACCTTGCTGTTGGTTTATATCGAGAAATAAGAGTTCTTATTCAACTCTGAACAAAAAAACTGACTAAAACTCTACTTTTAAATGTAAATGATGACGTGTGGTGCATGAGATCCTTTCACTGTTTTTATAATATGTCGCATGAATCTACTCAAATGTTGTTCTAGGTGTTTATGTTTTACTTCAGTTTTTCAATTACATGCAACTTTAAATCTCTTTTACATGTTACAGACGGATCATTCTCTCCCCTGCAAACATTTTCAGGATGTTTTTTGTAACTCTGTGATCTTTATTACCCTTTGATTGAATTAATTCATAACGCAGAAGCGCTTTAAATTGAAAATTTGGCAAATACTTCCACGTTCTTTTCTCCGCTGAACTTCCTCCTAGTCGAACTCGAGGGGCGCGTTTGAAGTCCGTTTTTTTGTGCGGTGGACATGAAAAGCAACATCGAGGACGGAGCTTTGGAAGAAGGAGGAATTTTGGTTTCGGGAGAACTCATCTGCCTTCTGATGCTTTTGTTTCCATAGTAACCGCTGTCTGTCTCTGCTGTATCTGAGGATGTTCCATCTGAAGAAAGACCACGCCGTCAAGTACTCGCGGTCGCTCATGGAGTACTTCAAGGTAAAGCGCACGCACACACACACACACACACACACACACTTGGACACAGACTTTATTTCCTTCCACTCGCTCTCATTTTCTTCCCTCTGTGTGAACAAAAAAAAAATAAAAAAACCCGCCAAGCCAATTACAAGCCCTCAATACATTTCATATTCATTTCCATGGCGCCTGTGCATTAATTTTGCATGGCGTTATTAAATTCCATTCTTTCTCTTTGATATTAATGTATTAATTAGCGCCATCAATCATCGCAGTGGATTGTTAGGGTTTAATGTGCTTGTTTTGATTAATTATGTTTAGTTTAATTAATTACTGAGGATGTCATTATCACAGCGCTGCATTTGCATTGATGGGATTGGATTTGTGGGAAGCGGCTGACTGCTGCTGACAGCCTGTGTACATGCAGCACGTGTTGACAGAGGAGTTGAAAGAAAAAAAAAACCGGCACAGAAACGAGCCGTAATGTGGTTTTTCACCGACGTGGAAGTTGGATATTAAAGTCTCACCGCTGAATAATATCCCCACCTGTTCATTGTTTGTATTGGTGTTAGTGTTTCACCTGTGAGCTCAGTGTTTGTCTGCTGAAGGCTTTCAGCAGAAAATAAACTGCAACTTGCTGTTTGATTAGAAATTATCATATTTAAGGTGTCGAGTACTGTTTTGGGGGTTTAGTTGAGATTTTAATTTGATGTATTATTATCATCCAAAGGTGGAGAACTCTGCACATAACCCTCACAAATGCAGCACATTTTAGCATTGTTAGGATTAAGGTGAGACACTGCAGGTGAACAGGGTCACATCTTCACCTCATACGTGAGACTTCCTCAGTTAATTACCAACATTAAGACCTTTTTTTTTATTCTGAAACTCTGAACATTGGATAAAGTGTTTGTTGACATGTTGGTGTTAAAGGGTTTCATTCAGGGGATCTTGTATATTTATTTTTAACAGTCCTTAAGTTTAAATCTCTTTTAAGTCACGTCTTAAAACACATTTTTATCGAAGAACTTTTCCTGATTTTATTTAAGTCTTTATGTTTTTTTTAGCTTCCTACTTTATTTGTGTGCGTTCTACTTTTATCACTTATTCTGTGTGCTTATTGTATTTTTATTTTTAATTTATTTTTATTGAAAAGCACTTTGGAACATTTGTTTTGAAAAGTGCTCTATAGATAAAGTTTATTATATTATTATTATTATTATGATTAAACTAGAAAATAATGTCAACATACAGTCACCAGCCATATTATAAACATATATAATATTATTTTTATTTAAATCTTCTGTATAAACCTTCAGACCATAAATAAAAATGAAACTGGAAACAGTCTTCACAAACATTTGTTGTAAAATTTCACACAGTTTTTTATTGAAACCCACAAAAATGTTCATCTATATGACCCTGAAACATCCCCACATGATTACTTACATTAAAATAATTATTCTGTGCATCACAAGTTTTCTGAATTTATATGTTCAAATATACAAATTAGGTATTATCTCGTTTAATGTGCACGACTTTGCACAAATGTCTAGTAAACCAAAAGCTGTAAAACCAACAGCTTGTTAAGTGTTTTTAAAGTTTTCTTTTTGTTTGTCTGAAACAAGACGACTTATTGAAGCAAAACGTGCTTCAACATGAAACTTCCACATCTGATTACTTACAATAAAACAATGATGTTTTTTATTACAAGTTTTCTGAAATCATATGTTTAAATGTGCAA